ATCACTCATAAAGTGACGTTATTTCTGATTGTTGGAGAATAAGTTTTTTTCCGTTTTATTCGAGTCTAGACGATTTTAGTTGATTGTCCATTTCTGACTAAAGATAATGTTAGTAACTTTTACGAGGATACCAAGTACGTTACCGCGAATGGTTTTGTGGTCACATAAGCTCTGAATTATACATCTTGTTATACATTTGTCCAAACATTTTCTAGTTTATTCCGGAATCTTTGGGAACATGTCTCCTGAACTAGTAGGGATGTTTCTCGAACTTGAAGATGGTGTTTCTGCCCTGATTAGAAATGCGGCAACAAAGTATTGGTCTTGGTTTTCCGAGTTGATTCCTCGAACATCATAGGTATTTAGAGCATCCATTTACTGCAGACTTCTACACACTTTTTTGTACATACTGATTTCCTCAAGAGTCTTCTACTTTTTCTTATTTGACTGATATCTTTCCTCGTTTCTCGTCACCTGTTTTTTCCGTTTCCAGAAAACTGCCTATATATAAATTGCCAAGTAAGACCGGTAACAATTAGAATTTTTTTTTTTAATTAAATTTGCTATTAAGGAAAAAAAGTTGAGTAAAAAACGGAAAAAGAGAATTATGGGGTTAAATGAAATACGCTTATAATAAGTGAAACATTTCTTAAATGCGGCATTTTTTTAATTAATTCTTAATGACCAATAAATCTCCAGCTATAAATTTTTGAATAAATTTTAATGAACGAATTTTCTATCTGAATTTGAATGAATGACTTTTACTGACTGCTATTATTAAATGATTATAATGAACGAATGAAATACGCTAGTTGCTCTCTTGTTAAATGCGGGTTTTATTAATTAATTAAGTCTTAAGTGACCAAGCAATCTCTAGAAATTCTGTGCATAAATTTCAAACCGATTATGCCTCGAAACAACTTGCATGCAAAGAAAAGAAAAACTATACACCGAAGAGCAAGTTGCGCTTGCGGTGGCCAAAGTACAAAGCGGTGAATTTTAACTTAACAAATCTTCTAAACCATTCAGCGTAGCAGTAGCAACTCTACTCAGGCGTGTCCACTGCATAGGGGAAAAAATTGGCAGTGGTTCAAGCACGAGATTGTCATAACAACTTGAATCAGTTCTGGTAAATACGCTCATCAAATTATCCGATTGAGGCTTTGGTAGAACTTACAATAACATCATCGCACTAGTTACCAACTATTTGCAACACCAAGGTCAATCTTATTTGTTTCCGAATGGTACACCAGGAAAAGATTGGTATAGGCTTTTTATAAAACTGTGGAGTCATTGGTTGAGCATCAGAGTCATAGGCAATATTTCATCACTCAGACCCGCTTCTTGCACGCAAGAAATAGTAGCAAAGTATTTCAACACAGTGCAAAGAGAATTCAACAAAGCAGGCATCAACAAAAACACTCCATGTCACTTGTGGAATTTTGATGATATTGGCTTATCTGGTGATCAAGGTAAGCAACACATAGTTAGCCGGCGTGGTGCAAAGCGTCCATTGAAATTGGTTGGCAACAATGAAAAAATTCATTATACTGTTGGAAATTGCATTAATGCTGCTGGTAATCGTTTTGCTCCATACATTATTTTTAAATCAAAAAAACGTCTGTACAGAGATTGGTGTGTAAGTGGTCCAGATGATGTCATATACGCCATTTCTCCATCCGGATGGATGGAAGATAAGCAATTTGTGCAGTGGCTCACTAAAGCGGATGCTCCCGCTATTAAGAAAATTCCAGATAATTAGTTCAATCTAATTATAGTCATCTAATTATATTTATTTAATGGCGAACACCAAATAAACCAAGCAACAAGTCCAGCCAAAATATTAGCTGCAAACCAATTCAAGTGTAAAAAGTGGCGAAAAGTTTTAGGCGAAGCTTCAGCAAGTCAAAGTAGTAGTGAATGGTACCAGTGTGAAAATTCAAATTTCAATGTTTGGTTTACATGTCAAACATGTATACAAAAGCGATACGTAAAAGGCGCTTAGTTTTATTGCACCAAAAAGTAACGCACAACTGAAAACTCAACTCAACCTCTAGCACCTCTAAACGACTCAACATCATCACAAGAATAAAAAAGCTTTTTTTATTTTTTTTTAATAAAGTATTGTTTTAATTACACATACATTTGCCTATTTCATTCTCCCCGTATGCAGGTGTAGAATGGAATAGATTTTTTTTTTACTCGAGTAAAACTTTATAAAAAACTTTAATTTTTTATTTTTATTTATTCAAATACAGCTCAATATTCTTTACAACTTAAAAAAAAAAATTTACAAAAATCTTTTTTCCGTAATAAATAAATAATTAAAATCCTTAACTATTCTATTTGACCCCATTTTACTCTATAACTCAAAGTTTAAAACTTCTTTTTTCAAATAACACCCTATAAATAACACCCTATAAATAACACCCTATAAATAACACCCTATAAATAAAATTTCGGACAAATTTTAATTGCATTTATTATGTAGTTTATTTCAAGCACGCAAAAAACCTTCATAGTTATTTAAAAGAGGATTTTATAGTCTATTTAAATTTAATTTAATTAAGTTCAAAATAGTATTTATATATTAAAAATAAAACGGTCAAAGTAATGGAACTCGAAAAATTGATGGAAATTTTTTCTTCAAAAAAATCAAGAAAAAGGTAAAGCATTTGTTGCTAAGCAGTTTATGGAATGGGGTTTACCCAGATCAAATGCTTACGATAAAATCGTAAAATTGGAGAATGGGTCTAAAATGAAAAGTTGGAAGTGGTCGAATCGCTAAAAAAAATATTCCAAAGATTACTGCATTTTTTGAAAATAAATCAGGGTGCTCCCAAAAGAAAAAATCTCAAGTTTTTAACTGTAGTCAAACTCGAATTTCCTAAGTATTAAAAGCAATGGCTAACATTCGAACTTTCAAAACAAATTGTTCAGATCGTAGCCATCAGCAGAAGAAAGCTATGCGTCCTAAATATCGTAAATTGTACGAAAATTATAAAAACTTGGATTTTATTATGGATGATAAAATCTATTTTACCTTAAACAGCACATTACCAGGTAATGATAGATTTTATGCCGCTGATCCTTCTCAATATTCTGATGAAGTAAGATACAATTTACGTAAAAAGTACGAGGACAAGTTCTTAGTTTCTTGTTGCATCAGCCCCCGTGGAATAAGCCCTCTTTATATTCATTATATTAAGCAGACAATCAACCAGTACACTTATAAAGAGATACTAGAAAAAACTTTACTTCCTTTAGTATCAGAATATTATATAAAAGACGATGAGTTTATCTTCTGGCCTGATCTAGCTACGTTCTTCTGGCCTGATCTAGCTACGTAAAAAGTTAATGGCTGACGTATGATCGCATTACGTCAGTCATCAACTTTTTAAAATTGTAAAAAATCAAAGTTGTACCCAAAGATATAAACCCAGCTAATGTTCCAGAAGCAAGATCAATTGAAAACTTTTGGGGGGATTTAAAATGGCTATTATACAAGAATAATCGGAGAGCTGAGAATTTGGAAGAGAAGCAAGAACTAGATATTGCTATTCAAAGGTGAATAAAGAAATTTTCCTTACTCAAATAATACATATTTCAAAAACACTTTATAATATTGCTAAATATGGTTTTGAAATAATTATTTTAATATATTTATAAATTACATATACAACATATTAACCGTTGAAATATTAAATAATAAAACTTATTAGTTCTTAAAACATTAATTTTTAAATTTTGTCCAAACTTTTATTTATGAGGTGTTACTTAAAAGAAAAGTACTGTGTATAAGTCTTATATCTTTCTACATTATAATGCTTACGGCCTTAACTCTAAACTTCTATTTATCTAATTTTTTTTTTCTGCTGCGTTTTATTAAAAATTTTAGTATCTTTAATAAAATTTATTGCTTCTTAAACTGAAATTTTTTATTAGTATTCTCTTTATCATAAATATTGTTATTATTGCTATATCTTTATAGTAATAGTTATTATTATTTTTACTGTTGTTATTATTGTTATTTTAGTATAATATATACTTTTTATAATTTTTATTTTTATTCCTACTTCCATTATAAAAGTTACTATTATTCAATGTTTTTATAAGTTGTTCAATGTAATGCGATATTTTATACATTGTTCAATGTATATTGTTGTATATGATTAAATGTAATATTAAATGATATATTGCTGTGTATGATTAAATGTAACTCATTCTTTGTCATTTAGAAAAGTAACTTCATTTCATGACCCACATGATAAAAAGAAGTTGCTCATCACATTGGACAAAATGCTCACAAAAGCTACAATCAGAGCCACTCCTTATGATTATGAGAATTTTAATTTTCATTCAGCAATAAAAAGTAAAACATAAGGACACTCATTGAAGTCAAAAAAATAAAAAATTTCAACATATTTGAAATATTACAGCATAAACTCATGACCTGCCTTAATCTTTCTGTCGGTTATATATATATATATATATATATATATATATATATATATATATATATATATATATATATATATATATATATATATATATATATATATATATGTATGTATATTAGGGTGGGGCATAAAACACCCAAGTCAATAAAAAAATATCATAATAGTTTTTCTGGTTCCTTTTGATATCTGTATTAAAAATATATAATTTTTTTTTTTATAAGTACTCCTATAGTCGGTCCCAGCAGTCCGAAATTTTGAAAATTTCTACTTTTTGTAAATAATGAGGGGGGCTGGGTCACTTACAAATATTTCAAAGATATCTTTAAAGTTATTTTTGTAGCCTGATAAAACTGATTTAAGATTATATTTTTTTTTATTGCAAAATATGAAATGAAATGGTCAGCCCTAGCCATTTAAAGACATTCTGTGTATATCTGGGAGGTGGGGGGGGGGAGTAAAATTTTTTTCTTTCAATTTTAAATAAATTTTTTTTTTACATTTGTATTTATTTTTTAAAGAAAAGTTATTTTAAAGCTTTCAACCGAGATTTTTTTTCTGTTGTCTGAAATTTTAAACGATGATCTGCAACAACCAATAAATTAGCTTGGTTATCTTCTTCGTTTCGGAAAGTTTCAATAAAGTTTTGACCAAGTTTAATTGCACTTTCTGCACTGTCATTTACAACAAGAATACCAGTGATATAATTTTTTAAATCTTATATAACCTGAACATGTTTCCCAGTTTGTAGCTGTTCTACAGGTAAGCATTTATCAGCAAGACACATAACCACAAATCTTTCATTTAAATAATAATTGTGTTTTTCAAGTGACTTTAGTACGGCCTCTGCTGGTTTAAGACATAATTCAGAATATTGTATCATTTCATTAATGGCTTTTAGATCTAAAGAAGGTGCTATGGCAGGGATAGGAGCTTTAATAAACCATGGAACATAAAATAGTGCTGTAAATGAACCAATTTCATGAATCAGCTTTCCCTCTTTTAATGATATTATATCAGGACATAAGTTACTGAATTGTGGCTGTAGAATGTCGTATGTTAAATAATAAAGGCCCTGTGCCATAAACCTGACATGATGTGAAGCCATTGGAAATCTAAAGTGAAAATCTTTTACTTTGCTACCTAACCAAAGAACTGCTACCTGTATAAAATACTTGTAGTCATTTCTTGGAAATATATCATTATCGAGGCAATTTTGAAGGAATGTTAATGATTCAAAAGCCTAAAATAAAAAATAAATAAAGTTTATTATTAAAACTTATAATCAAACAGAATAATCTAATTAGGACAATCAAACCAACCTGCTTTTCCAAAAAAGATTTAATTTTTTTTTCTGAGTCAAATTTCTTTAGGTTATCATAATTTATCTTCTTTTCAAGAATCGATTTCCAATTACACTTCAGCCTTTCAAATAACTCAGTCTTTGGTCCACTTGTTTTACCTCCAGTAAGAAAAATATATTTATTTCAAATCACTTAACTGAATTTTAATAATAAGGTGAATCATTATTAAATTTATCAAGAAATATTGAATAAATAAATATAAAAATATTTTATGACTTCTTTTCAATATTTACCTTTATATGTAATTCGTAGACATGATGACGACAAGCCATCCAAATCAAAGCTTTTCCTCTCCACTGCTCAATAAGAGTACAGACTCCTTTTAGCCAACCAGTATTTGTGACTGTGGTGTCAAAGGACAGACGATCAACATAGTCAAATAGCTCCCAGTCTTGTAAAGATTTTTTGATTGCTTTCCCAAGAGACTCAGCAGTGCCATCTTTCACAATTAAAATACCCAAAAGTTGGGATTCTGAAAGATCTGGTGAACTCATTAGCACAGCTAATCTTTCAACTTTTTCTTTACAAATTTCTCTCAATTCTACTATAATTTTGGAGTCAAAATGCACGGTAAGACTTTTACCCTTAGCCAATATAATAAAGTTGTCTTTAATTTTACAGGCAGTTGTACTTATACTTGATTTTTTCTGCCTCAAAATACTTCGTTGAGAATTAGAAAAATCATCTGTTGTTCCAGAACTGTTATTTATAAGAGAAGCAAGAGTTGCACTCAGTGCAGTCGAACTTATTCCATATCGTGATGCTGTTGAAGCTAAATCTTTTCCTATATTTTCAGGAACTATAAGAGGAACAGCATTAGATTTTAAAATTTTTATAGAAGGCTGTAGATATTATTCATCTTGGTCATTATCTAAAGTATTTAAATTTTTCATTGTGTCATCAAATTTCTCAGTAACCAACTCTTTCTGTTTTCTTATGGACTCTTTTATACTTTGATTTTTTTTAATTTCTTTTTTTCTTTTATTTTTTACAATATTTTGTGAAATTTTATCTTTATCCAACATTTTCTAAACACGCGCTCCTTTCTGGTCGTTAAGAAAATCTACATCCTCTCTTCTAGTTTCTAAATCTTTAGTTTTATTTTTCATAATAGTATGTTCACAATTGTTTTGACTTAGATCGAATACTTCCTCTAGCATTCTTGAAAAAGTTTCTCTTTTTAAAACTAAATTTTTACTTAAACGGTTCCTGTGTTTGTTTAAATCTTTTCTCTTCTTTTCTAAGTCAACAATCTTGTCTCTAAAACAAATGTAAAAGAATGCATTAAAACTGTTGTAATTTATTCTAAATATATAAAATGTTATGACTTTATAATTGTTACTTGTACAATATCAATTTTAAACTGGATAAAACTAAAAATTAAAAAGTATTTTAATATAATAAAAACCTGATATGCTTGTCAGTATTAACAAAAGTAATTCCTGCTTTTTGCCAAATTTTCTTCACCTCGTAAATGACGCATGGTAAACATTTTTGGAGACAACCACCTATTTCATTACATTGTGCAGTAAAGAAATCACCAAGTAGACATGAAGCTATACTATAGTACTAACTGATGAAATGTTTGGAAAATCAGCTCTTAGCATAAGATCTCTGTAATGGTAATATTGCAATACAGTTCTTTTGGTTGGCAACCCAGACAGCAAGCTTACATTGGTCCAACGTAAGTTTTAACATTGGCAAGTTTATTTCGTTGGGCCAACATTTAGCCAATGTTTTTTTTCAGCGTATTATTTTCAATTCTGAAAATCAGTTTTTTGTAAATATCGTATCAACATTTAGCCAATGTTGTTTCTTCGGCGTAATATTGCAATTCTACAAATCGATTATCGTACTACGTTGGGCCAACATTTGGCCAATGGTAGCTTAGGCTTAAAATTTTTCTATAAAAATCTGTTCTTACATTTATACCGTAGCCAATATTCGGCCAATGTAGTTGCGGGTTAGTATATATTTTTTATTTGTTGCAAAACATTTTTAAAAATGGTTGACAGAATAAAAAAAAGGTTTTGATATTATCTTTCCATTTTTTTAAATTATAAAAATAAAAAAAAGAAGCTATATTTATTGATCTTCTAAGAATCTTAAAATGTTTCTTATAAGAAATAAACTTTATGAGATTCTTGTGACTTAATGTTTTGTTTTTTTAAAAATGAAATATTTGTTAACATTTAAATAATATGCTTAAAACATTTTTTACTACAATCTAAATTATTAATGTAATAATAAAGGCAATAATTAAATTACTTTTGTGTAAGATCTTAAAGTTATTATTTTATTTTTATTGCTGAATGGGCATTTCAAATGTTTGATTTATTTAGTAATCTTTATTAAATAAATGAAACATTTCAAATGTTCGATTTATTTAATAAAGAAGACATTTTAAATGTCTTTTTTATTTAACAAATCAAACATTTGGAATGTCATACAGTATAACTTTTTTCTCATAATTTATTTATAATAGTTTAGATTATATAGCTATTATAAGATATATTATTAAAGGCAGTGGCGGAACTTCAAAATTTGCCCCCCCCCCCCCCTGCAAAAGAATGTTTTTTTTTAAAAAAATAAAGCTTCACATATAAATATTATTGAGAGTATAACTTTTTTTATATGAGGGCTCCCTATAGCTGGTAGCATCCCCCCCCCCCCGCAACGCAGGGTCCTGCGTCCTGTAGTTCCGCCACTGATTAAAGGTATCAATAATACATATGTGGCATTGATGTTATTAGAAGCTGATATTTTACATTTTAAATATATCTCTTTTGTTTGATTTTTTTTCGAGTTTGATTGTGAAACCCCATCTACTAACATATTAAAACAGTGTGCAAAAAGTGATGTTACTAGAATTTATATTTTACTTATGTAGAGCTTTCTAATATTCCATCTTTCTGAGGTAGAGGGACATTATTCTTGGTTTTATTATTTTTTAAATTAATATATCTGGATATTTTTCATATTTAGTTTGTGTACAACAGTTAACAACTTTAAGCTTTAACAATATTAACTTTAGTTATAACTTAATTATTAATGATTTGATTTATAGATTTTTAAAGCAATACAAGATTGAATTTAGCAAAAGGCTAAACTTTTGCTCTGGAGACAAAAAAGGAAGACAGCAAAAATGACCAGCCAAAATAAAGAATAAAGAGACAAAAAGTTGTGTATATCTTGGTGTAGATGATTTATCCTCAATTTCTTATAATAAAACAAAAAATATTATCAAACTTTGGGATTTACCTGTGACTCCAAACTCTTTACAGAAGTTCAATGTTTGCTCTGAGAAGTTGAATGAACAAAATTTATTAAATGATTAGTTTTTATATAAAAGTCTTTATGTCTGACGATTGAAAATCTTTTTTCATAGCTTTAACTTTTACAATTCAAAAGACTTTTTCATATATAATGGTCAAAAGGTCAGAGTGTTAATTAACATTTTATTGTATAATAACAGGCCTTGTTTTAAATAAAAAAGTGCTTAATGCATTAGCTTAACGCAATTTTGACGTCATAAAATTATCTTTATTTTTCTTTTATAGACGTTAAGTGTTTTAACTACCGCAATAAATAAATAACCTAGTTCAATTTAACAATTAACTCTAATATAAACTATAAACGTTTTAAATATAAATTTATGAAAATTTTGTAATGTTTTTAATTGTTATTTTATTATTAATTTTAGTTCAATATTATTTAGTAAAATATAAATAAATATATATATATATATATATATATATATATATATATATATATATATATATACAAGGCCGGCGCGATAGGGGGGTGTGGGGGGTGTGACACCCCCCCCCCCATCAATGATTTTTAGTCGGCAAACTGGACCCTTAGTCGGCAAATTGGACCTAGTTAGTCGGTAAATTTGGACCCCCTTTCGATATAGGTTAGACAGTCGGCAAATGTCGTCATGACAGTGGGCAAATTTTGGAAAACGAGGACCTTTTTTTTTTTTTTTTAGTCGGCAAAAGTTGTAATGGCACCCCCCCACGTGACACCTACTCGCGCCGGCCCTATATATATATATATATATATATATATATATATATATATATATATATATATATATATATATATATATATATATATATATATATATATATATATATATATATATATATATATATATATATATATATATATATATATATATATATATATATTAAGCCACTGTCTAAACAAACTTTTTTTTTTAAAGCATGTTGGCTCACTTTGGGATTTAATTAAACCATAAGTATAAACATAATTGCGAAAAAATTATACAATTTGGAGCTATAATCATTTTGGGAAATCATTTTAAAGTTTTCTATTATTTGTATATTTTTTTCAAACATTTAAATTAATTAAATATTTCGCAAAATCATAAATATCTGCGACGGAAACTTGTTACAAGTTTTGCCTCGTTTTCACAATGTTTTATAAAAGCTTATTGGCTAATGCCACGTAGAAACGAGGTTTTGTAAAAAGTTTCCGTCACAGATGTTTATGAAAAGTTTTATAAAATTTTAGTTCAAATCTAGAAAATCCGATTTCTAGTTTTAAACTCGATTGTTAACAAAAAGGTCTTCAAAATTGTTGGTGTTTAAAATTAGCTTGGGTCAGGGTCTTTTTAGCTTATACAGGAACTTGAACGCTTTTATAGACTTAGCACTGAAAGTTAAACCAAGTTTGATGCTGGAATAACGTTTTTGAATGTCTTTTCATAAAATAGTATATTGAACTCAAATTTATGTGTGCTAATCATTGAGAGTCATAGAAAAATTCATACATTATATTTATTTATTGTATTCAATATATATATATATTATATTTGCATTATACAAGATTGTTAAATTACTCTGACAAAAGTATACAATACTCAGACTTTTTCACATTTCGCTTGTTTTCGGCTCTACTTTGGTTTTTAGCCAAAATGAAGTTATGTCTCTTCACCCGTCCATAAACCTTATTAGAAGCTTCAGATGTAAGTTTTACAGCTCTTTCCACCGACTGAGAATTGTTTGGGAAGTCGGTTATAGAATGTTTATTTCTGGTTTGAATAGCTTGTTTTAATTCATTTGAAGAAACAAAAATTGTAGTGGGAGGTTCAATTTGTATTGAAGAAACTTCAATTAAGTTGGTCCAAACATCAGCATTGAAGTTCAAGGTCATAATTGTCTTAGCTTGGATTTTAGGCTTAAAGTCTGGATTAGTTTCCCTAGATAACCTAATCTCCAAGTTTTTATTGAGAGCACAATCTCGTACAACTTTTTCATCGTCTAATAGCATAGCGTAAAGAAAGTTTTCTTGACAGCAGCAATAGGAGTTACCCTGAAAATTTTTCAATACAATCTTTTTAATTTTGTCATCCTTTTTTTTGACTAACTGTATTGTTTTATGGAGAAGCCTTGGTGCATCTTTGTAATGCGCTGAACTTTTTACAGCAAACCACATTGGACAGTAGACTTGGACTATGTACTTT